TGTGCCCTAGCACGGCTAAGAAGAAGCGCCGGACTGACCAGCCTGGCTGGCCAGGCTTATGGGAGTTTCCAATTGACTTCTAGCTTCCCTTTCCCTAAGCATCCTCCCTGCGTGGCAGTTGAAAGAGTTTAGGATCACCTGACCGAGGAAGGCTAGAGACCTTGGCAAAGGAAGCTGGCTTTTGCAGTAGGCTGTCCTCAGGCCCCAGGGCTTAGTTCTTAGCTGGTCTCGGATAGATGCTGGAATCTGTTTTTGTCTTGTTTGAACCCCACCCCCCCCCACCACCCCGGGGAAGGCATTCCATAATGCAACCAGCAGGCTTGTTTACATCTTCAGCAGGCCTTTTAATGACCCTGTGGCTAGAGGGCAATACACAGTAGCTCATGCTATGAGCAGGCAGGCCACAGGCCACATTGGGGCTCTCTGGGTCTTGGCAGAGAAGGACTTATTTAGTCACGATGTGTGCTGTGTGCTTCCTTGACTTGAGGCACTGCCTGTCCACAAACAACTATTGAGTATCTACTATGACCCCAGCACAACCTGGAGCATCCCATCCTGGAGCTGGAGCATCCCATCCTGGGACATCCCATCCTGGGGCATCCCATCCTGGAGCATCTCATCCTGGAGGATCATAAGCTCCAGGATGCCCTCTGCTCTCAAGGTTCCTCCACAAAGAGAGGAAAGTGATGAGATGATCACATACTGGTCCCTAGTTGCTTTTGGCCTCCTGAAGCCACTGCTTCATAGCTCCTCACGTTCTCAGAGCTTCCAGCACAGTGGTGCTCAACCTTCCTAAGGCTGCAACCCTTTAGTACAGTTCCCAATCAGAATTATTTTGTTGCTACTTCATAACTGTAATTATGAACTTAACAATTCATAACTCATGAATTATAATGTAAATATCTGATATGCAACCCCCAAAAGGGTCATTGGACTCCCAAAGGGGTCACAGGTCACAGGTTGAGAATCCCTGCTCCAGCAAACTCTGGAAGTCATGACAAGTCTTTAATAAATACTTGCTCATATCATGAGATTTGTTAGGGTCAGAACTAAGGCACTGGCAGCCCTGGCAAGCTAGGCTCAGCCACACACCCAACTTCAATAGACCAATCAAGGACACAGTTAACAGGAATGAAATTTATTAACATCAACAAAATAAAAAGGAAAGAAGGGGAAAATAAAGAAGACTCAGTGTGGCCAGATGGTAAGAGGAACATATAAAGAAGTCCAACTACCACCCTAAAGCCACCTACTTTGTGTTGACATGAAGTCTAAGGGACTGGAGAGATGACTTGGTGATTAAGAAGACCCCATTGCAGAGGACCCCATTCACTTCCAGAAGAGCTGATGCCACCTTCTGTCCTCAGAGGATACCAGGCATGCATGTGCTACACATACATACACAGAGGCAAAATACACATATGGAAGTAAGTAGATCTTTAACGCAGAGGTTGAGAGGTAGCCATAACAGAGAAGTCCTGGCCAAAGTGTGATCCGCCCCGTCCCGACCCATCATTTCAGAGATCTTTTGCAGAGTGGTGACAAGTTGTCACAGTTGGGAGGAATCTCTTCTAGAAAGAAGCTCCTCCTTTGGCTGGCCAGCACCAGGACTCAACACTTCCCTTCTCCCATCCTGAGATTCCAGAAAGAAGTTCCAATCTCTTGGGTCTGTTGTCGCAAGTCTGACTACCAAAGCAAAAGTTCAGAGTGTCTTTTTAGTATAGGTTCATTCTCGCCTGGGCCACTACACTTATCCCTCCCCAGGGACAGCACTCACCTTGTTCTTCCAACAAGAAGGACCATAGCCCCCCTCCCCCCCAGACCCACTTATCAGCATACATTCCCTACCTGGCCCGTTCCTCTCCTTGAAACCCACATTATGCACCACCCGACCTCCTTGTTGAGTGTAGTGGTTAGTTTTCAATTTGCCACAACCTAGAGCCATCTGAGAGTCTCAGATGAGAAATTCTCCAAAACTGGTTGGCCTATGTACATGTCTCTGAGGGAGTCTTTTTATTGCTGATTGATGTAGACAGAGACAGCCTACAGCGGGTGGCGGGGAAAGCTAGATGAAGCAAGGGTCCATCTATTGGGCTGTGCATGTGATGCTCTAAGCTTCTGCCTTGACTCTTCTCTCCACTGATGACGGATGTGACCCGGAAGGGTCGGCAGATATCTCCTTCCTCCTCCAAGTTGCCTTTGCTCAGAATGTCTCATCACAGCCACAGAACGAAGCTAGAACACTGGGTCTCTGCCCAAAGAACGCCATCCCCACAAGGCCGTCTTCACCACACGATGAAAAACTGCTCCCACTCTGCCATGTTCACCCCCTTTTCCTTCTTCAGTTTTTTTCCTGACTTACTTACCCTGCCTTAAACACACCCCAGTTTTCCTACTGTGTGTTATCTATCACCCATCTCCACAATGCCTGACTCTTCTCTTCTCTGATGAGCTTAACAAATATGTATTGGATATACAAAAACAAGAGCTGACTGCTTAACTTCGCTGTGGCTGTTGTTTTAAATGCATTTGACTCAAATGGCATCCATTACCCACTGTTTGCGTTGAGTAAAACTCACCCCCACACACACACACACACGTATTTCTCTGTACTGCCAATGAGGGAGTGTCATGTGATTTTAGTTCCACAGATGGCTTTGGTTGGTAAATGAGGCAGGAGTGCAAACAATTCTGACCCCATAGAGGTGAAAACCAAGACTCAGAGAGGTGAGGCTCCCAGCATCCTCACTGGGTTACTATGAGAACCAGGGTAGCTGAGGTTCTTGCTCCCTGGGTTGGACGTTGTTTGCTGCTATTAGGATAACAAAAGCAAGATTGACAAGAACAAATGTAAGAAATTTATTTCATCAGAGTTTTACAGGACATGAAAAAACAACTTTAGGGGGAAGGGGTTGTTTTGGCTTATAGTTCAGGGGGCAGAGGTCATCGTGTAAGGAAAGCATGGCAGTGGGCCGGCTGAGCAGGAAGCCAGCTGATCACACTGCCTCCTACTCAGGAAGCAAAGAGAGAACACCAAGTGAGGCCGAGTTATAGCACCTCAAAGCCAACCCTGCTCAAACCCCCCCTCCAGCGAGGCTCCACACCCAATGGCTGCACAACCTTCCAGAACGACTCCATCAGCTGGGATCACGTGACCAAACTCGAGCCTAAGGGGGACGCTTCTCACTCAAACCACAACACAAATGAAGAGCCGGCCCATGAAAAACTGCATTTTTAAGCTTGGTCTTGTCACCCTAGGATGAAACCAGCTCAATTAAGAGCAAAATAAATGTACATCTGTGGGGGATTAATGGCCACATCCAGGAAAACATAGATGCAGGCAGTTGTGACAAGCTCCCCTCCCCCCCCACACACATTTATAACTTTGGACCTGAAAGAGGTTGTAATTACATAATTGTTAGGAATTGGGAATGCAGCAGACAAAAGCTAAGGTTTGTAAGAAGGGACTGAGTACAGGTAATTGGGAAGGAGGGGTAAACAATCTTCCCAAGCTCAGATGGGATCCTGAGTAGGCAAGCTTGCTGCCCAGGTCAAAGTTCAGCTGTGGTCCCTCCCAGACTTAGTGACAATGGCTGCCAACTCCATTTTTATTTTTCTTTGATCTTCTCAATAAAGAGCGGACATCCATGTTGAAATATGACTGTGCATGGAGTGAAACCCTACTGAGGATGAACCCGAAGCACAGAAAGGCCTGTCCTGACCCTCCCTGCTGGTCTAGGAATCATGCGAAACCCTCTGGAATGGGATTTTAGGATCCACTCGCAGAATCCCTAGGTCAGAGAATTTATGGCTAGCTTTTACCAGTATAGATGGGAGGACGACCGGATTCATATTTTTAGGTTTTATGGCTGCCTTTGGGGGAAGAAACGGGGGTTCTAGTTTATCTGTTGCCATGGAGCGGAGGGGGAAAACGGAGAAAGCACAGTAGGTTCAGAGCCAGAAGAAGCAGCTGCCTTCTTCCTAGCTTGGAGCTGATACTCTGAGCCTGGGTCTCCACCGCCAGGCTGCGGGGTGGTCTGTGACTATTTATCCTGCTCTGTGCACCTGTTCTTCCTGGGACGGTTCACTTTGCTCCAGGGAGCAACACCTGTGTCTTTCTTTCCCTCCTTGTTTTTCTGTCCCGCCTCCTGTACGGATGGCTGTCATTGTCCTCTGCCCTTCCAGCCCCATCCAGAAAGAAACCCCTGCTCTTCCCTTTTGGCAGCAGCACCCAGAACAAGGGTTCCTGCTTTCTGGGCTGTCTCCAGGTTCAAAAGGCAGAAACAGGTCCTGATCCCTTAAAATAACGGGAAAGGTTGACATAATTCGGGTATGCCCTAGGGGTCCAGCACAGGACCCAGGGCAGACTCCCTGTCTCCGCCTTACACTCCCCCCCCCCCCCAATCCCACTCGCTCTGCTTAGGACAAACCAACACGTCCCTTCTCCGTGGCTCTGGAATTTTCCGTGCCTGTCTAGATCACAACACTGTCTGTCTGGGTCAGTCACTTGTATGGGATTCTTCATTGTTATCCCACGTCTTTGCTAATTCGACCCTTCTCTAGACCCCACGGTTGTTCCAGGGTGGGCGGATCAAAGAAGACGCCCGATCCTTTCATCCCCACCACTTACGCTGAGGTGCCAAGTCCCACTCAGGATTGGGGTGATAGAGACAATCACAAGCAGGACTTATAGCTTAAGTGGAAACGGTGAGAACCAGAATTTGTAACATACACAAGGGGAAGGGCACCACCATCCCCCCACCCACCCTGTGTAGCAGGGCACAGCACCCGTGACACACACCACACAAATCTCATGGATTTTTGCGCACATAGTTGTTGTCGCAGACGAAGAAGAGCAGCCCAGTTTGGATCTAAATCAACCATCAGGCCAGGCTGGGCGGGCGCCGGCAGCTCCTCCAGGGGCTGCGGCGAGTGCTTGGAATTTTCCACCGGTGGGCAGACCCGCAGAGCCGCGTCCCATTGGTGGAGCGCGGTGGCGTCGCCGCGTGGGTGCGGAGGTGAGGACAGCCAGCCAGCCGTGCGCAGTGGGCTCCGCAGAGGTTCTGACCGACCCGGTGGGCGGGGTCCGGAGGGGAGGCGGGAGTGGGGTAGCTGATCCCCAGCCACTGCGCGCTGCTGCCCATCCCGGGGATGGGGAGGTGGGAGTGGGGTAAAGCTGGTCCTCAGCCCCCGCGCACTGCAGCCACACCCGGGGATGGGGAGGGGGAAGGAGGGCTCCCCTTTGTACAAACCCTGGCCCCCTCCTCCGGCCTGACCCCAGACTCCTGTTCCTTCTTCCTGGCCCTATTTAATGCATTAAGCGCGTTGCCATCAATAGATCCCATTTGGCTGTGCCTTTCACAGACTCAGGTATGGTCAGTACCGCTGACTGAATAGGAACCCATTCCTTGTTCGTGGAGAAAACCGGTGAAGGGCGGTGGGGTGCTTCTCTCAAATGAACAAAATCGCAACACCGACTGTCAAATACGTGCAAGACAGGAGCCGCTGCCCTGTCCAGTCAACATGCTCACGCGGAGCGAATTTTAAGGAATTTGTGTGGGAGCCTGGCCTGCTGCAGCTTTAATGCAGCCTGCTTCATTTCTCCCGAGCTGTTAAATCCACCCTAGTGGCTTACCTTTGAAAGCAAACTGGAAATGGTTGTTGGGTGAATGAATCAACTCTGGGACAGCTAGGTAAGCCTTGGCTCCTGGGGTTTACTTATTTGTCACGTGACCTTGAACAACTCCAGGTGTCTCTGAGCCATTTGCTTTAAAAACCGAGGCTTAAATGCGGAGCTATACTCTGACCCAATCTCATCCTTCGGTTCCAGAGCTTGGCAGTACGATCTACAGCAGAGCAACCGAGTTCTCAACCCAGGCGTCCCACGACCGGTGGCTGGAGAGACAGAGCAGGCTGCCATACATTAGGGTATTACTCCGCCACGGAAAGGAGGGGCATGCTGACATGCCACAGCATGCTGTCCCTGGAAAACTTGCCAGGTGGAAAAGACAGATGCAGATACAGGCCACACAGTGACATGTTCACGCTGAGTGAGTCCACAGAGCCCAGCGCAGCCCAGGTTGCCAAAGCTGGGGTAGGAAGTAAAATGCGCTCAACCACCTGATGTCTTCAGCGTACATGAGAAAGCTGATGGCGCCCAGCACTATAAATTACTGTTACTGGACTCTGTAAGACACTTGATTTTATGTCAGGTGGATTTCCTCTTAATAACTTGTTTGGTATTCATATTTAAATTTTTCCCATTGTTTGCGTGTGTGAGTTTTTCTTGGGATGGAGTACGTGTGAGGGCGTGTCTGTGTGGAGGCTGGAGGTGGGCATCAGGAATCTTTGCTCTATTACTCGTCCACTTTATACATGGAGGCGGGACCTTGCCTCACCCAGAGCTCCCCACATGTTAGTCTTGCTAGCCAGTTTACCCTGGGGATCCCGTCTCCACCTGCTTGGACTGGAATTCCAGGCAGACCACCGCCGCCACAAACAGAATTATTAGTAAGAGTTTCTGGAGACCTGAACCTGGGGTTCTTGGCTGTCAAGGGCTTTAACAGCTGAACCATCTCCCTAGCACTTAAAACAGTCTTTAGTGGGGCTAATCACAGAAATACCTTCCTGACGATTAAATATAGTCACCTACATAGAGAAGCTTGAACGAGTTAAAAGTATGCCTTCTAATGCCCTCATTATTTTCCAGCATGGAGAAAAATGCTTTTTCCAAAGCTTTCAGCTAAAGTTCAGACAACCCGAGATCCACTCAGCACCGGACGCAGTAAAGCGTGGGACTGCCCCGAGTTCCTTGACTGGGAAGACACAGGGTGTGGGAGAGCTGGAAGCTTTCTGTTGCTCTAACCCTGGGCTTGGCAGTGCTTCCCAGTGTTGCCAGTCACCTTCCTGCAGGGTTTGGGGCACCATGGAAACCGTTGGATGCTGTGGATGGCAGCATTTGTGACTTTAAAATGTTGGATACGGAATTCTTAGAACAGCTCTAGGGCAGGCTGCTTGGGCTGGGAGCCCAGCTGCCAGGATTGGTGTGTGTCCTGGGTCTGCCATCTTCCGCATGAAATGGGGTTCTCAATCCAAGGCTAACCTAACCAATGAGGATTGCCAAAAAACCCACTGAGTAAGCCTGTGTGTGTGTGTGTGTGTGTGTGTGTGTGTGTGTGTGTACGCATGTGACACACGCGTCTCTGTGTGTTGGATGTACACCAGCAGAGGAACCTGTGCTTAGCCAGCATCAACTGCCATAGAAGAGGAGACAAGTGATCAAGGGAAGTGGAGGGGTCTGTGCTCTGCTGTGAGATGTTGGGGTGATGAAGGAAAAGCCACCCAGAGCCTTTCAAGCACAAAGGAGCTCCCTAGAAGTGATGTCACCACCCTAAGATATGAGTAGCTCACAGTGGGACTATGGTGACAATTGTGATCCCCTGCAAGGCACACAAAGAGCATTCTTCTATCCTAACAGTAGAAAGCCCCTTGTAACAGGAAGTGACATTCTCAAGGTTGCATCTGTGGTGCCAAGGGAGTGGCATCCTTAGAAGACACTAAGGAGTTCAGCTCTGAAATAGAAACCCTGGGTGCAGGTGTCGCCCATCTGCTGGCTCCCCCACACCTGAGGCGAGAATCCTCTGAGAGTGAGCATCCTGCCCTGGGGCTGAGAGCCCTTAGCAGCAAAGAAAAGGAAGAATTTAACAGGACTCAGGCCTTTCCTGTTTCCCATGTGAAACCACCCTCACCCTCTGGAGTCCCCGCCGCCATCCAACTGCCCCAGCAGCTTTGCTGGGCCTGCCCTGATTCGCCCTTTCATGGTGCGCTAGAATGAGAACTGGGTATATATGCACCCTCACTGGACTCTCTTTGAACCACCAGTCCACAGAGAAGGCTACGGGAACATATTAATGATGAAAGCTTAGGCTAGTTCTCAATCAGCTCTTATAACGCAAGTTAACCGATTCCTATTAGTCTTTGTCTTGCCACGTGGCTTTTATCTCTCTCCTATTCTGTGTGTCTGGCTTGTTCCACATCTCACTGGCACTGGCATCTCCCACACACCTAGATTCATCTCCAGTTCCTATCTCTCCCCGGAAGTCCCACCTATTCTCTTCTGCCTAGCTATTGGTCATTCAGCTCTTTATTGAACCAATCAGAAGGTGTCTTGGCAAAGACACCTCTTCACACTGTACAAGAAGATTATTTCACAACACTGAGGGGTGCCCCTGTAGGAGGGCCTGCGACACAGCACACGCACTTCTGCATGGTCAGTCTGTGTCCCCAAAGTTAGCTGTCGCCAGAGCGAAGAGTCTAGGGAGCAGGCACTCCTGGGAAAACTGGTCACCAACATCCCAACAAAAAAGAAAGGTTTGTCAGGGAGGCACCACCAGACTTCAGGCTCTGCAGTCTTCCAAACATGCATGCAGTCTGCCTACTACAGACTGGTTCCAGGATCCTAGGATGTAACATGTAGGCCTGCTTGTTGGGGTTTCTGTCCTGCCCGGTTCCCGCAGCCATTTAACTCCAAAGAAAATCACACAGAGGTTTCCATAAGTTATAAACTGATTGGCCCATTAGCTCAGGCTTTGTATTAGCTCTTATAACTTATATTAGACCATTATTCTTATCTATGTTAGCCACATGGCTCAGTACCTTTTTCAGCAGGGCAGGTCACATCCTGCTTCTTCAGTATCTGGATGGGACTGTGGAGGAAGCTTCCTTCTTCCCAGAATACTCCTGTTTTCATTGCCCTTCCTCTACTTCCTGTCTGGTTATCCCGCCTATACTTCCTGAGTGCCTACTGGCCAATCAGCATTTATTTAAAACATAATTGACAGAATACAATTGTCTCACACTGCTAGGAGGCCAAAATATACAATGCTCACATTCATCTATATTAGGTGGTTTGGTCTTTGCCTAAAACCTGTCACATCTTCCCACATACTTTAGAGAAGTATTTGTGTGAGTGTGTATATCTCATTGGTGTGGATATTGATGAGGCCAGGAGATCCCTTGAAGCTGGAGTTAGAAGCAGTTGTGAAGCCACCTGACATGGGTGCTGGGAACTGAACGCTTGACCTCTGGAAGAGCAGCATGAGCCCTTAACGGTTAAGCCATCTCATCAGCCCTGCCATAGACTCAGTCACCTTCAGGTTACTTTAGAGTGCTAGAGCAACATAAATCCCGTGTAAATTGTTCTTATAGCGGGCCGTTTAGTGCCTGTTCAGTAGAGATGGAATTTCCTCCCCCGGCATGTTTTAGTTCTACAGCTGGTTTAATGTAAGAACAGGAACCAGCACACATAAAGGCCTGACTGTGCAGATGCTGGGATTCCACAGCAGGAAAAAATGTCCTCTCCTGGACAGCATCAGATACCACAGTTCTACCACAGTTCCCTGTGAGAGTGTTTGTGCGTGTGTGTGTGCATGTGTGCACTGAGAATGGAACCCTGAACCAGCCACATGCTAAACAAACCCTCAACCACTGAGCTAACCAGTTTCCTTGAAGATTTCTCAGGATTTATTCCAGTATTTGTGTGTATGTATGTACATATTGTGTGTATGTATGTGTGTGCATATTATATGTATGTCTCTGGGTACGTGTATGTATGTATGTATATATGTATGTATGTATGTGTGTATGTATGTATGTATGTGTATTTGCACATATAATTGAGTGGGTGCCTTCAGAGGCTCAAAGAGGACATTGGATCCTCAGGGAGCTGAAAACCATCTGACATGGGTGCTGGGAAGCGAACCTGAGTCCTCTGCAAGAGCAGAAAATGCCCTTAACTGCTGAGCCCTCTCTCCAGCTTCTCTCCCTGAAATGTTTTATGTGTGTGGTGTATGTTACTGTCTCCTCCTCTCCCCTACCTCCACCCACCTCACAACACAGACAAAACACTTCTCCTTGGATGGCGAGATGTGCCTTTAAGGATATTCAAAGGTTAGGACCAGAAGTAACTTCAGGGGTGTCTATTCTTCCCGCATAGTAATAGATACATATTGTAGAAATGTTTAAATATATTTTAAAAGAAACAGCAGAGTTTTAAGAACGGCAATGTAGCCATTTGAGAACTACAAATAAGTTTTAAAGTTCTGGCTTCACACTCAAAATCTGCGATTACAGATGCTCAGCATCTATCTCTGGGGGGCCGAAGGTTCCCAGGTCCCAGAACAAGGACTTAGACAGAAACACATAGAGAACAGCAAACCGAGGGAGTCTCCTGAGAGGACCTATATTCCCAAGGGAGGAAATCAGCAGGACAAAGGAAAGAGTAGAGCTCAGACGTGCATTTCTCTGCTGGCTGAGAACGTTGAACACTTTTCAAGGTTGTTTGTATCTCTTCCTTTGAAAACTGCCTGCTAGTTCAATTGGCCCGTTTATTGACTGGCAGTTTTGTTGTTGAAAATGTGAAAATCTTTATATAGTCTAGACACTAACCTAATGTTCTCTCCCATATGTGGATACCAGCTTCTAACTGCTACATGTATGTGTTTAGGTGGAAGTAAGTGTGGATGGAAGCTGGAAAACTGAGTCCATGAAATGGAAAGAACTAGACTGTGAGAGGAGAAATGTGGAGGCAACGGACCATCTCCAACCATCTCCGAGGAAACATCAACTGTAGAGCTTGTTTGCTGCCGCTAGGAGGTCGCCGTAGCTGCTCTGAGTGAGATGAAAATGGCTGGTATTCCCCAGAACACCTGAGAGCACCATTTTCCTATGCAGCGCTTTATATAAAACGGGCTCCTACTCTGCTACAGTTGATTAGGGAGCCCTCTGCTTTAACAAAACCATAGAGTGTGAGTTCCGCATGCAAAGAGGCAGCTACAGGGATCGTCTTCAGACCATTGCTTGAGCTGCACCGAATTCCTGAACCATGAAGGCGTGAGGCGTCCCTACAAAAAGGTGTAAATTGCTGAGTGGGGAGAGGTGAGTCCTCATTCTCCGACGTCCCCAGAACAGCTGTGGCAGCGCTGTGTGCCAGGAGCCATGGAAGACTGACATGAAGGGGGAGGTGTCTTCTATGAGGCATAATTTGAAACCACATGACTTTTTAATGCTGTATAGTGTTTCATTCTGTCTATAAGTGATGATTTATTGATAACCAAGTCCCTGTTTGGACGTTTGGGTTGTATATGGGTCAGGAGTGGTGTTCTGCTACAAATATCAAGTTGCTAAAAGACAGAGACTTAAATAAATGAAGATTTTCCTTCTCTAATAATATGCGTGGAAGGATGCAGGGCTGACAAGGG